AACCCCAAAACCCCTCGGTACATCTGATAAATAGTAAGTTAAGAAGGTTAGAAATGAACAAAAATACAAATCAGTACTAAGACTCTAAGGTATAAAATGATAATGAAAGTTTTCAATCTCCACCAAACCATTTTACAACTGCTGATGGCTCTTAAAACTAACAATATCCCTAGTTAAATTACCATCCTCCCGTGTATCATCCTGATTAATAAAGCTATATGCCATATTACTAGCCCCTAAATAACTAATTTAATGGAGATTAAGCATCATTGATGAACCCCTACACGAATGCTTATCATCCGAATTTTGATTAAAACAGGAGTGTAGGACCAATAAATAGTTTCTACAGTGGGCCTATGCCTAACCCTAGATCAAGTGGGTCTGATAATGTAGCATTCATAAAGAGAGTATTCACTGAGAGGCCAATAAGAATGAAATGTGGAAATTGCGGCTCAGATGATTTTACTAAGCCTAAGACCTTTAATGGTGCAGCATCATGGGGCAGTTGCATTTTATTATTCTGCTGTGGATTCCCATTATGTTCATGCATTCCATTGTGCAGTCCGTGTTGCTGGGACGCAGAGCATCACTGCCAAAAATGTGGTAAAATAATAGCAACCAAAAGAGCATTATGTTGAATTTATTCTTAGAATTTAGATAAGAGTCTTAAAACTTAATTGATCGTGATTAGAAGTAAAATTATTATTTTTAATATCTAAATATTTAATGACATCTTACCCACCAGGTTACTAACCAGTCAACAATGAAAATTAAGACTACACTTAAGGCCAGCCAATATATGGCTAGCCAGTAGGTTATGTTCCATAAAACCCCTTTGAACCAGGATACAATGAGTATCAGGCTAGACTGAGATAGATGGAAGCTAATGGAGGATATTTACCTCCAACAGGAAGATAAAATCATTCTACTGACAATTATCCTAAACCATAATAAAGATATATGAGTGGTTTCAGTTATAATGATAGACGCCATCGCTCAAACAGTGATGTCAAAATAGTAAGAACTAATGATCCAGTCTCACTTTACTGCGAAAATTGTCAAGCATAAGTTAATACATAGGTTATTTCATATCCAGGGCCTTACGCTTGGGGTGCTTGTGCCGTTTGCTGTTTGATGGGATGCTTTATCTGTTGCTGCGTTCCCTTGTGTCTAGACCCTCTTAATCACTCTCGCCATTTCTGTGACAGATGTAACAAACTCCTAGCAGAAAATAATTGATTAAGCTTTTAATTGTATTGGTCTTATGCACCATAAATCTTTTACAAAATACTTATACTTAATTCTTCGCAAATACTTGACAAAAAAATCTTGATTGACAATTTCATTTGCTATTATTCTCAAATGAATTCTGATGGGGTTTTGGGGTTTTGGGGTTTTGGGGTTTTGGGG